TATCTGTCAAAAAAAACTTCTGCCCGATTTCTAGACACCATATCAGAAAGTAATAATAGATTGCACCTGTAAATTAATTTGTACATTTGGAGGTATCACAACCTCATTTTCCACATATACATTTGCAGTCCATATTTTTGTGCCATCTATTTCATCAGCACTAGATGGATGGGCTTGCCAAAGAACTGCAACTCACTTGTTCCACAACCAAAGCTGGTTGACAACTTGTGCTACAGATTTTTAACTAAGATCCCAAAGCTAAATCCTAGATCAGAAATAATCATCTTCAATTTGTAGGAGTCAACCAAGACCAGTCAAAAGCCACAAATGCACTTCTTTACTCACATTCATCTGATAATGTTTTGTTAGAAGAAAGTTTAATTCAGTAGCCACAGTTTATGATATGATGCAAGGTTGAGCAAATTCATGGCAATATTTGTGTCTACCAGAGACTAAATCTTGCACCCACATATTGCTACAGGCATAGAAAAAGTAGTGTAATGCCTAGTTCAGAGTTGAAAGCACCAGCCACCACATCTTTGGGTGTAGGAATGCTGCTGTATCTGTTCAGATTAGCAGACAAGTCCCATCAGGGATATATAATATTAAACTAGTTAGAGTATCAGCAGCCGTCAGTTGCCTTCAACTTCTTGTACTTAATGGAGAGTTTGATCTATCTTTTTTTTTCAACAAATGGGCAATCCTGAATCTAGTGTCCAACAAGATTAAATGTAGAGCAAGAGCTCCATCCTTCTAACTCTCTCTGTCTCTTGGAAAGTGCTGGCTTTTGTACTTGCAGCAAAAATATTTAAGCAGAGCAGGAACAACCCAGTATCTACCAATATTGACAGCACAGTAGGTCCTTATTGCTGCATCTGCATCATAAGGAAAGCCTGTTGTCCTGTAAAGGTCCAGTATGGCTGTGGAAGAACATCTATTGATGCTTATATGTGTTTCTGAAGAATGCAGATGAAACTGTTTTAGATTCTTGTTTTATCCAGTTATATTCCTTCAAACAATGTCACCACAGAAATTACTTTTGTTAGACATGATATCCCTGACTCTCAAGAGATGCCTCATCGACTTACTTGGCGGCCCTTCAATAAACCTGTTATCAACAATCTTGTCACAGCGTGTTAACCCTTTCTGATACAGTAGGTTTTTAGTCCACTCTGTGTACACACTGGCAACCCAACTTTTAAAAGATTAATTAAGAGAAATAATTATATTTCTATTTCAATAATTCCATATTCAAAAATATTATAGAACTGATATTAGCTTTACATAATGCTTATCTAGTATATTTCATTAATCAAAATTTGAAAAATGTTGAGACTTCCTTTTCTCTCATACCTCTAGGTGTCTGAAGTGCAAACATTGCACTTTTTCTTCTTTTTTGTGAGCTCCTAAGATTATATTTATTTTTCAAAATCATATATCAACATTTTTTATTAGCTTGGATTTTACTTTATGTTTCTATGCCTTATATTTACTCAATTGTGATCCTATTGGTTAACTTCACATTTATATTACTGCTTGAGAAATTTTATTGGTTTTTAGCTTTAAAGCAGGATACAAATAAAAGCTAATAACCATCATAGAAAAGATGTTTCTAAGGTTTAATGCTTTGTAGTAAAAAAATCCAGGCTGCTAATAAATAATTAGAGACATACTTCAAAATTCTGTCTTGAGATAACTTCATTATCATTGATTGCAGCCAAGTTCAACGTTTACAGATGTGTAATTCATTTCTGTTTCTGATGATATCAGATTTGTCCCTGACATTTGTTTGAAAGCTACAGTGACAAGGTATCTGGTAAATATATTTAGGTTTAGCAATTACAGTAAAACTACGGTCTGTAACAGCATATATTGTGGATGACAGAAATCGTTTTTTATCAAATATATTCTAGGTTTACTGTATTCAAATAACGCACATAAACATAAAACTTCTAATTTATTGAAATAAACTATAACTATTATATATAAGTTGATCTCAACTAAAAATATTGTTGGCAAAATATTATGCTATAATTGTCTAAAAAAAAAAGATAAGGTGGCACTATTCTAAAAGATGATGTCATAGTTAACCAATAGATCTTTGTCATTCATAACATTTTTAATTGACTTATAGCAGGAAGACTGTAGGTCAGTCTCAAATGAAATGATTTTATTGTGGAAACCAAAAAGGTTTTTGTTTTTAATAGTACTTATTTATAATTTTTACACAGATGTTTAAGAAGAATTTTAGCAATTACTTATAATTTAAAGGCATTCTCAATTAAAATTATGATACAACATGTATGTGTCGGTAGCTTGCAGGACTACATGCATGAACTGACAAACAGGAATCAATTCCTGTCTATGTACATTTAGATAAGTTGCAAGTTCTATGAACTTTTGTTTATGCATTGTTATAACAATTCTGTCAATGATTCACAAGAAAGCAGATATTTATGGAAATATAAAGAAAAACATTCTGAAATTATGAACAAATGTATTTTTTCAGGGTTAGTGAGGAGCAGATGGATGAGTGGTTATAAAGATTTCATCCTTATTTTTCTCTTTCAATAACTTACTCAAAAACTGAAAAATATTTTACTTCTATAAGCTGTTCTAAGACAATTTGTGAATTTGCTATGAAAATTACTGCTTTAAAAATTTAAGACAAGAAGTTAATAATAGCCTATTGTACATGTGAGGTAGATTTATACTATTATTTTACCCTTCTGTAAACAGAAGCTTTAGAAATATGAAAAATTTTATTTTCTATAGATGGCACAGCAATAAAATATCATAATAATATTGTGAACATAGCCTTAAAAGGATATTCTCTAAAGTCTCTTAGCCACTACTTGGGAGAAATGGTCAGAAACTTCATAGCGTGAGGTTATCTGTCCAATTGTTACAGGTAGGTAGTGAGACAATTTGTTGTTAGGAATTTCTCATTACTTCAGCTGACTATGCTATATAAGATTCCCTCTTTTCAACTGGTTTATGTACACTTTATATTAGAAGCTGATACAAAAAAGTGTGATTCTAGAGGCTATGGAGCATTCTGTTGTGTTTGACACTCCGATCAGCACCTTCCATAAGTTTTTATTTTCATAGGAATATTCTTACACAGTTTAGTTTCAAGTCAGTGTAATTATGTTTCAGCTCTAATTACAGTTTCAAATTATGTACACAGTTATCATAAGTTTATTTACTTTATTTAACCACATCAACTCCCTTTTTTTGATTGTCTGCTGTTATAAATAAATGTTATTTTTCTGGTGAATTTGACTGTATGTTATCCTCTCTGTTACTTTAAAAGTCAGACTCTTTTGGTTATACTTCTACAGGCCAATTCTTATAACGTCCCTCTTATTATTATTTCTGATGGATACAGAAATTGCCAAGACCTTGCTCAATCTTCTAGTGTCATAGGTTTTGTAAACCACTTTTCCAGTAGCAAAAGAAACTGTTGGTGAATGGAGAAAAACTGAAGTAAGCTGAGAAGGTTTAACTTTGTATTAATTAATATCAGTGTAGTTCCAGAAGAACATGCTGTGGATGATGTTTCAGAGATTGATATCTTAGGTATGGACCTACAGTTGTGAGTTAGATTTATTCCATAAAGGTTTTATACAGGAATCCTATGTATTAATATAAAATCAGTACAGTACAGTTACTGTACTGTATAAATTACAATTCAAATAATTAGAACAACATCAAGAAAGAACATGCATGTTATAGGCCTTATTTTATTTTTAAGGGCAGCAAAAATTAAAGCAAAAATTTTGTTATAATCTTAATTAAACTGGTACCATTCATAATTCATCATATTGTTGCGTCAGCGAGGTCACATGACTAGTGTCACGCCACGTTTCTAGAATTATCCTGTATCTTGGTGAATGCCCTAGCATTTACTAGATATAGGGTAGTCTGGTATATAAAAGATGGTCACAACGTGACGGGACAATGTGCAGGTAATGAGTAATTGAACTGCAGTCATAGAGTGTGTAATTGAGTATTGTCGAGCACGAGCACGTGAGACGTTCTAGCGTTTGTTATAGAGCGACTGTTGAAATTAAGTGTATTGGTAAAGTTGTATTTGGAAAGAATAAACCAGTTTTATTTAAGAAAGGACTTGTGTCGTTAAAGTTTTGTTGGAACGAATTTACGGAAAATTAATTAACGAACTGAGACGTAACAATATGGAGTCAAAGCTATAGCAGACCTATTAATTACTGATTATTCAATTTGCTATCTTTAAAAATTATCTTCATACTCTATGTCTAGTATTGTAATATTGAGTGCAAATATAACATGTAAACCAAAACAATATCTTTCTTTCTTAACTATACGTAAAAACTTGAGTGCTTCTCACAAATATACAATTCTTTATGAGAACATAGTAATTAATTCTCTTGCTATGGGCTTGGTTGATTCAACCTAAAAACTGACCCCAAATTGACCTTTAGAGTTTCATACTATAACTTATAATATGTTTTGTGTATTTTCACAAAACTGTGCAAACTTTTAGTAAGCATTAAGTGTAATTTGTAGACAAAAAATCAGAATTTTTAATGAAGAATTTTCACAAAACATTTCTCCATGAATACACAGAGTCAAAATGTTGACTGTCCATATTATTCTTTATTTTACCTAATCTAACCTCATCTAACCTAAGTTATAGAAGACAGACTACCTAGAGAACAAATGCCACAATTTTCATAATAGGGGAAATTCAGGATTATTTTTAATATTGATCTATAAAATTAAAAACTTAAAAGTTGGATTATTAGCTACATTTTTATGCTAAGTTTATTTGTATATCATGATAAAAAACATAGTTTAATTAAATTTTGAATATAACTCAGTAAAACAATGTGACATGTGCAGAAAAGAATGTCCATAGCAAGAGAGTTAAATAATGATTTATCTTGTAATTTACCTTTATAGCTCTACATGAAGAAATGTTCTGTTTAAACATGCTATCTTGACCTTTCACTTACTTGGTTCTGGTTGCAGTGGTAAAGTCTTCTCAACTGGTTCTGGCTCTTTTTCTAGCTGTGATTCCATTTCTTCAGCTATGGGAAGCATGAATGGAACTTCTGCAAATGCTTCTGGACTAATTTGTCTGAAAATAAGACATTAGGTAACATGCAAAATGTTTCTTTCACAGGTACTTCTTAAAATATTTTAACACAGAGAAAATAATTCCAGCATGGATATTTCAAACAAATGATACTACAAAATCTTTGTGTATCTTGCGTAACACTATGAGAAACATACACATTGACAGTTTTATGTATCTGGGTATTACATGAAAATATATAACAACACCTTTTTGTTTTTACAAAAGGTGCTTATTCTGTGTATCAAATAACATGTTACAACAAACAAGACTACAGGCCCTATATGTCTTATCAAGAGTAACACCAAAACAAACTTGTTATTCCATAAGTTCTTACACATATACTTCTGTGTATCTAGAGTCCTATCTTATCATACCAAACATGAGAATTTCTAACTATTTGTCTGTTGAGTCTTGTGTCACATCACAACCAAAACACAGTATTGTACAAAATCTGTTAATTCTGCACTGTATATGATCTTTTATACGTAGTTCTGCATATATATGTGTATGCATGTATATATATATTTCTGATGTTGCCATTCTTACAAAAAACTCAGGTTTGTGCTTGATCAGTACAAATTTCAAATACGTTGACAGGTCTGGCTTCATTAAGATACACAATGTTTCTTCATTTGACCATACTATGCCAGAACTGAAACATAACAAATATCATATCAAATCCGGAAGAAATGTTTATAATGTTTTCATGATGTTTCAATTTGCTTTTCTTTTGAAAGTCACTTATATATTAACATTTAGGCTTATTCTTCATGCACAGTTTAAAAATATAATGTTTGTCTTGGTTAAAATTAATATAGACAAGGTTAATCAACTTAATATTTTATAAACTGATCAGAAACCCAATGGCACTTAAGTGTTTCTGAAGCACAGTACATTATCATTTAATATGGACCTTACAACTAAAAGTTGTGAAGTATATGTTTATTCCAGATTAACCGTTGAATATGGCTTCTTGCAAACGTACATGTGCACTGATGTATAGGCTTCTTTCATAAGCAGTCAACAACAAAAAAGTGTAAACATATATCAGGTATATACCTAGACCTAGCTATCGATTAGAAAAAAAAAGTGGAGTATACAAAGCACCTTGTCTTGCTATATTGTTTAGATAAGTTTGTAAAAGGAGTTTTAGCATAATGTTAGTTACTTTTGCATTTGGTTACTACTTTTATATGTTAGCTTTAATGAGAATATTATATGAAACTAGAAGATGAAAGTAGGCTTAAGAATGTAGAGAGAACACGATAAAATTGAGCTCATATTTCTACAATTTTAAAAAGGAGAACATGTACAAAAACAGCATATTTAACACCCCATCAACAGTTTAGTTATCACAACACTGATAGGAAAATCTCTATGGGGATTGGCCAGTGTTTAAGATTTTATGAAAATAGAATTATGATTGTTTCCATTTTAATAGATATTTAACAATTAAGAACTTGAGATAGATCTCTATACAATGTTTCAAGTCAATTGCAAATATTTTTTCTTTTATCGTTTTTGAGTTTAGACAATAAGGTTTTTCATAATAAATACCTTAATAAATTAATAGAAAACTAAAAAGGAAAGAACAATGTTAAACTCTGTTTCATATGATATATAGTACAATGGGTATTACTGGGGGTGAGGGTGTTATTCTTGGGGATATCATATTCTAGCTTGGTTTAGCAATGTTACTTCCAGAATATTAATATTACTGTTGGCATAACAAGTTACCTGCAAACATCGAAAGCTGAATTCATTTGATCAAGATATTTTATGTTATTATTGACTTATATTTCTCATAATCACTTTTCAGTAGTAAATATAAACAAATTTGGACAGATCAGGCACTTTTTCCATATACTGACAAACCTGATCTTTCATATTTCTCTGCACTGAACGAATTTCACTAATACATTTTCCAGATCTGCAATCTTTTAATATCTGTCCAATTCCCTGCCTAATTCAAAATATAGACAATATCCGAGATCATTGTAAGTACACACATCACAATGAGTATAGTTCTTAGTATAAGGTGTCACATCACAACAAAAATCTTTTACTTGTAATTCTATTTATTGATCTGCTGTTACATGACAACATGCAGTAAGAACTGACAGTTCTACATAACATCATATCAAGCAATCTATTCTACAAAGACTGCTAGCTTTTGGTATTAAGCTGATTTCATATGACAGCATACAAAACTCTCTGTAAGAACTGACAGTTCTACATAACATCATATCAAGCAATCTATTCTACAAAGACTGCTAGCTTTTGGTATTAAGCTGATTTCATATGACAGCATACAAAACTCTCTGTAAGAACTGATAGTTCTACATAACATCATATCAAGCAATCTATTCTACAAAGACTGCTAGCTTTTGGTATTAAGCTGATTTCATATGACAGCATACAAAACTCTCTGTAAGAACTGATAGTTCTACATAACATCACAATAGGCAAGGTATTCTACAAGGACTGCTAGCTTTCTGTATTTATCTGATTTCATATGACAACATATAAAACCCTCTGTAAGAACTTATAGTTCTACACAACATCACAATAGGCAAGGTACTATACATAGACTGATAGCTATCTGTATTGATCTGCTGTTATATGACAACATACAAAACCCTTTGTAAGAACTGATAGTTCTATACAACATCACAATAAGCAAGGTATTTCACAAGGACTACTAGCATAGTGATTACTGTGTCAGAAAATAAATTAAATATATTTTTTCTATATCTGATGTTATACTGTTGAAAATATTGTTAAGAGAGTTTACCCAGCTGATGAAACAGTTTTTACCTTTGATCTATGTAGGTAGCTTATTTTGATTGAAATTTAACACCACAAGAAACTGAAATAAGGCAAGTTAAATTTCTAACAACCAGGTAATTCTTTTAAAGAATGTTTATGAGGTTTACGTAATGAGAATATTAAAAATACAAGGTAACTCTCATCATATATATATATATATATATTTACGTAAAATGATTCAAAAACAAGTAATTATTGCTCTAAACAAATGTTATAGCATGACATTTTTTATAAATCAAAGTATCATTTTAGTACAAGCACTTAAAGAACAATCTTAGAATAGCACTAGGACAATAATATTATTTTACGTTTGAAATATCTTGTGCAATACAATAATCCCAAGGTACATACTCAGTTGGGGTTTTTCCTGAAATATCCTGTGCTTCTGTTATCACTGTGATATCTATAAATATATGAGATAATCAATCATTCCATCTCTATGTTAAGCTTTTGGCATATATTTCAATAATTTTCAAACTACCAATGGATCAAGTCAGTACATACACATTTAATTGTTTGAAATTACAATGAGTTCAAATTAAATTTAATAAGTTTCTTATTTTGTTTTTAAAAATATCTCTTTCCATAGATGCCAAAAGTAATTTTTCAAACTATTAAAGCAGCCTTTTTTCTTGTATACCTACAAATAATTCACAATTTTTAATAATAATACCATATTTGAAATTCTACAACATAATTCTGGAGACTCCTTTCAATGTTCTGGTATAAGTTTTACACAAAATCTCTTTACTTAACTTGAAGTGATGCTGGTGTTTTCAGTAAACTGCTATCTTCTTGTGCGGATCTTTCACGCAGTCTTTCTACTTCTAGTGCCATCTACCAGAGAAAATATACGAGAAACATAATTCTTTATACAGTCGTGATTAATCTTACTATGCAAGAGTGTTATTTTAATGAAACACATTTTCAATTCTCAGTTTGGGCATTTGGATTTTACATAACATTCAATATTGTTGTATACAGCTCATGGAAAACCTTGCATTCAACATCAGACATAGAAGAAAGTTTGATATGTGCAGAAACACTAAGAAAAATATCCATATTATTTACTACTAGGATGATCAGTAACACTGGACTTTTTTACACTTGAACACGTCACACACACACACACACACACAAACAGGTCATTTCATAACACATGTACTCAAATACTGTATACAAGCTTAGTGTTTATAATAACAGTGGTTATACCAGTTTAGTACAAGCTGGTCATTTCATGAAATATTTAGGTAATACTTCTACAAATTAGTTTCCACTAGGGAAATTACTAACAAATCATTTACAAACTAAGTCTTTTAAAAGACAGATATGTATACTTTGTTAATCTTACTGAAAAAAAAAAATTGAAGCAAAATTATATAGATATCAGCTTATTTGTTGTGTGTCTGTAATTCCCTAGTCCCAAAATTTTGACCTTCTGTGCCTAATAATTTAGGGACCAGTTAAGTTTAATAGTTTTAATGTTTTCATTTGTTACACAGTCTTAATTATGGAAAATTTTGAGAATGTTCTCATGTACCTGCTTTTCTTGACCTTTATCAGATCATGTCTAGCTAAATAATTTCACACTTAAATGATGAAAGAAAAATGTCTTTACTATGTAATTCTAAACAAATAGTTAAAAAAGCACACACCATTAAGGTGAATAGGTAAAGACTTAAAGCCTACCTCTATGCTAATCTTTCTCAATCATCTGCCATTGCACTTTAACCCTTTCACTGCATAATTAGATTTCAGGAACATTCCCCAAAAGTTAATTCTCCATCAAAAATGTCTTAATTTGACTACTTTTTGAATTATTTACTTTTGTTACTTTTCCAATTTGAAGTGACCACAAAGTTTCCATATCTGGCATTAAAATTTCTTGAAAACAATATTGATAATAGAAATTTAGATTTTCAACAAGAAAATGAGCAAAATTTGTTGAAAGGGTTCTTCAATATATGACAGTAAAGTTGATGAAAATTACTCAATAAAAAACCAAATGTATTTCAAAAGTATGAGATTGCATTACATATATATAAAGTATAATAACTCCTAAAAATTATGTACTGTAAACATGTTAGTATTGATGGAAAATAACAGCTACACCTTAGCTATCTGCCCCTAATTTAGCAGTTAAAGACTACAGAGAATGCAGCTAGTCATCACCACCCACCACCAAAATTCAGGCTACTGTTTTACCAATGAATAGTGGGATTGACCATCACTTTATAATGCTTTCCTGGCTGAAAGGGCAAACATGTTTGGTGTTACAGGAATTTAAACCCATGAGTCGAGCACCCTAACCACCAGGCACACATATATAATAAAATAATTTATTTGCATCATCTGGCTTGATGTCATGTAGAAGAAAACAAAACAATGACTTTTGCAGCTAAGTACAATACAAAACATGGGGTACATAACTTACCTGAATATGGTGAAAATACAGTAAACATTTACACAAAGCTGAGGTAAAAGCTAGTGATGAGAAGTCAACTGTTTAGTTAATTTTTATTGATAAATAAACAAGTGATATGTTTTACAAAGTAAATAAAGTGTGCCTTTGATTTCTAATGAAAATTTTTACAAAGTTGAGTGATAAGTAAATTTATTTATCGACTAAAATTGGGTTAATGGTTAATGGATTGCCCAGCACTAGAGTAGGCAGCATGAGTGGATTAACTGAGTGTTATTTTTATGTTTACCAATGTTGCTTACAGATGGCAGCATATAAGGATGTTTGGAGACCATTTTAAGAATAGGGGAGATCGATCGATAGTTGCAGTAACGAGAAACATTTTTTGGTTGATGTGGACAAAGGTTCAATCCACCAAATGGCAGCCAATGATCATCCATGATCTATACATGTGTTAATGTAATATAAAAATTTAGTATGTTTGTTGGAAGAATTGCTAAATTTACCTAAAAATATTCAATAAACTGGAGACCCATGGTTTCCATCTTGGTTGAGCATAAACTTTTCATTCTGATTTTGCTATAATTAACAGTCTTGACTTTCAAATCAAATGAAATTCTTTATGCTATACAAATATTATTTCTAAAACCATTTGTAATATTACAGTATCACTGTCAGTAACAAAAGAACTTATCATAAATTCGCTAGCTTACATGTATGCTTGTTTAATTTTGAAACATAAATACCAAGACAATGAGTTACTTTTGGCAAACACAGAAGAAATTGTCTTACATTTTGCCATTGTGTTTGTTTTTATCAAAGAATGAACAAGGATAAGACAGCTTGTGTGATACATCAGTCAACATAAATAATCACATTTTGCATTGCTTCATTCGTTGAAAAGTGTTGATTGCATAGATAAGTATAGCTAAGATGTTAACACCTTATAAAGATGATCTTTACTTATGAAACCCATGGTATAGTAGTTCTGTGAAGGTTACTACAACATGTACAAGCCACAAGTTAGTACTTTTTGTTCCCAAGTAATCTCATTAGTCTAGTCATGTCCTTATTTTGAAGTTTTTATTTTATTTTGTCATCAGGTCATATTTTGCATATTGCTCATGCAGCTAAATAATTTTCAATGTAACTGAGCTTCTATGCATGTCCATTTTACTTCAGATTTTTCTGCTGTTTGTGATTTATGTTAATGTCTGGAAGGTTCTAATGTAGCATTTAAATATAATTAGTATACTTCTATTGTAATCTGTAAGTCTGTTTACTTGACATTTGTATCCTTAAGCAAACTTAAATTATCATATTTCTTCTAAGCTGATAACATTGTTATGATTTTTACGAGTATAAATTCAGTTAACATTCCTAATAAAGTTTCAATCAATTATGTAGTTTTCCATGACTATTTTAAACTTTTAAAAGTCAGTATCAATTTAATATTACAAAGGAAACCTAAACATAGTTAAGCATGAGCAATAAAATTATTTTCTCCATATGATTTTTATTACCACATTTTTTTAATGTATATTAAAACAATGAGACATTTTTTCCCACCATATCACAGAAAGATTAATTAAAAAAAAATCATATTGCCAAACGACTTTTATCCAAACATTAATACCAGAAACACTGAATTTGTTTTTTTTCTGAGCCTTAGAATCCCTTTTGCTGTCACCATGACTTCATTTATTTTGCTAATCTAGTAAATTGCACACATTGCATCCTAGACACATTAAAGTTATTGCTGTATGATTTTACTTAAGATGTCTCTAGAAGTTTTTATTGTTGATTGTTCAAAAAGAGGATTGACATAATGTGATTGTTGTGGTTTAATGTCTGGAACTTTCTTTAAAATCTTAGAACAGTTTTGAGCAGTATAAAATGTGTGTTAGATCAGATAATTAATGATTTTTGCACAGTTTCCATACTTTAAGAATGACAAAATTTTTGGGATTTTCCAGGATTATGTTTTTTTTCAAGAACTTTCTATGAACTAACTCGAACACAAAAACATTTACACTCAGACTCTTCAGCACATTTATACAAAGGCTATTTCATCTTATACTTCAAACACTGTACTAGCAACTCTTAACAATAAATTATGGCATTTAAAATGCTCTCTAGGAGGATGCAATAGATTATTTCAATTGTCAAAAAAGTAAGTTTATATTTTATTTGCTATTAATATATTTGATCCCAGCTACAGGAATTTTGCAAAATTTATTGGGGAACCAGTAATTCTGATTTTATACTCAATGAATACTACACTAAAATTAACTAAATGCTATATGAAATATTCCTATAGAATGCATCTGTCTTTATTCACTAATTTTTTTACTGCCACATTCACTTCTGTTATTTTGGACTGGTTGATTGTTTCTTTTTTTTTAATATATGAAACTCATGTTGCTTTTATATGCTTCATCATGTACTTAATATTATAGTAAATACAATTTTAATGTTTAAATAAAACATCTGCACAAAATATTTACTTCTACATAATTTGTTTCAAAATTAATTGTCTCCAAAACAAACTAATCATTTCTAAAAATGCAATATTGTAGATTATTTCAATTTAAACAAATACCAATTTTTTTGATACACTTTTGATAATCATTTAGAAAAGTTTAAAACCTGCCAGCCCAGCATCTTAATGTGGATCTAAAAAAAAAAAGAGTCATTCCAGAAAGGTTTGGGTTGTTTTGATTAGACAAAAAGATATTTGGCACTATTTTTGAGGTCTAGGTTACTGGATCTAACCCGAGACAAAGAGAGCCAACATGGATATATTAACTTGTAAATGTAAAGTAAAATGATGTAGCAAATGAAACATGCTTCAAATGTTCTAGATATAGTTGTGAATGTGATGGCGATTCAGCTAAACTCTGGTTCCAGGTCGGATAAGGGAGGAACTTAATCGAAGACATCCCAGCTGAATCAGAGATTCACCAATTCAAACATAAAATAATGGGCATAATAGTACGGTTAACTTCAAGAAGAGGGATTGGAATTACATATAAAAAATTATTAGTTTAAATATTTTGTGAAACTTGTGGTACAGTAAAGCCCAAAGATGCAGTGTTGAAGCTGAAGCAGATGTACAGTGTATTACAAGATGATTTCTCTAGCGATTCTCACATTAAAAATGCCATTTCTGCAATGAAGAGTAAATATAAAAAGGATGATATAATGCCCAGTATGATACCAACATAGTGTAATCCATGTAGAGTTCATCATGTCATATTTTCATTTTAGAAATTGTGCTGAGTTTCATTCATGAAGATCTATCACAATAACTAAATCAACAGTTTCCACATTTTTACCTCTTCATTTATGGTATATTTTTAATGTTTTATTTTCCTTTCCAATTCTTTTTCTTTTATTATTTATGTCGAAATGTCAACTAGTGCCTGTGAGTCATTATAACACTATGATCAGCAGAGATACATTAGCCACTAGCAAAATGGTTTGCACATGCCTATTTTATAATCCTTCACGAGTGAGGTAATGATGGGTAATCTTTAAAAAAATCATTAAACCTTTTAAATACAAATTTAAAAACACAAATAATACATAATTAACTAAAATATAAAAGTAAAACCTAATTGCAATTTAACTGTGTATAAAACTAATATGTATAAGGTGAGAAAATAGCCAAGCACTAAGTACACTAATCTCCACAACAAACCCAAGTTGTCATTTTAAAAATAATCTATTACTTACTTTTCTTCTAGCCTGGAGAGACTGAGAAAGCTGTTCTTTCTATTGGTTATAAGCATCTCATTCAAGTCTACAAGAGACGGTTGCTTAACAACAGATTATAGTCTTTATGATACGAAACTAATGCTTAAAATTCAAACTTGTATGCACAGAAGCTCATATAGACTGTCATATAGGTACCTCTGAAACAAACAATTTAATCTTCAGTTTTGTTGTCACGTGATATCCGTGCAGTTGAAATATCTTAGGTTTGGTTGCTTGTTTCTTTACAGCTTACTCTCAATTTCTTTCGAAATAAAGGAATAATAACTTGGATAATATAAAACTTTGAACTATAATGTATTTGATAATACTAATTTCATTAAAATACATTGATAGTAAATTGGTTTAATTAAATTTTTAATGTAATTCAGTAACACTTTGTGACATGCACAAAAAGTTATTTAAAAAGTGTACCGATTGTTAAGGGGTTATAAATCCAAGAGAAGGCTATTTTCAGTCCTAACTTAAAAAACAAAATTTCTTGTGTTTCATAAAATAGTGCTATTTAATTTGTGTCTTTTAAAGCTAGATCCAAAAATTATTCATATGCATGGTCCATACAATCTTTTCATTTGTATGCATGTTTACTTCTATTTAGTTAATAATAAGAGGTAAAAAATTCATTGATTATCATGTTTTATAATAAAGTTGATTTCATATCACAATATGAGAAAATTTGGTACAAACAAAACAATGTAGCTTGCTTACTTGTGTTGCTAAACAGCATTCTTACTAAGCTGGAACTCTTTGGGTATTAATCCCAGGCATATATTATTATCTCTTGTACAGTGTCATATGTGATACTAACATATAAATACTTTTCATAATTTATTCAGTGACATTAAATGGAAAGGTTCTTTATTATTCAATTGAGAGAAATCACAAACTAGCTTACATGTAACAAGTACCATGCCACCATTATTCATGTGTACATATGAAAAAAGAGCTACTTCCTGTGTCAAGCAAAATCTTGATAAATCAGGTCCATCATGAAAAATCAAGGTTATTTCCTAATTCTACATTAATTCCCAGGCTTCTCCCATCCAGGAAAAACAATATCATTATTCCAGATAGCATGGCAACCATGTCTGTAAGTCTATTAGTAAGTTACATTAAGTATGAAGTAGCAATTTAATTTTTGATTGAATTTGTTAATAAATTAGTTCAATTCTGGATATTTAGTTTATGTTATGACCAGAGTAATAAGAGATAGACCATACACTGTTTAGAGCAATAATATATTAGCAAGTAAGTGGAACTGTTGTATTAGTGTCTATTGTAAACTTAAACATACTAGCAAACATTAGTTAAGATAACTTGCAGTTGAAGAAAAAAACATTCCTTCATTATCTTAAATGGACTGGACTTTGCAGTCTTCTTTTTTATTCAATAACCCAAAAGAACACACCTAAAAACAAAAACTTTACAGAAATATAAATCATTCAATGTGTTTTGTACAGTTCTGAATCAAATGACTTGTGTGTAGGTGTACAGATAAAAAAATTCGGAATTTTTCTTCTGGATGAAATTTTGAAATTTTTTTTGGCAAATTTAACTTTCAGAATTAAAACTTAAAATACAATCATATATTAATGTATGGTATTCTTCTAGCTTTTTCCTATCATTATTTGGCTTTTTAATTCGCTTAATGAAAGTTTTTCTCTACACTTGACTGAAGTTACCTTGCCTCTGTACCTACTTCAAACAAGCTCAAATTAGTAGATGTTTGGACTCAGTTTCTCTATTTACCTGTCCTCAACTATGATATTGTTGCGTCATCGAGGTCACATGACTGGTGTGGCGCCCTCTATTTTCTAGAACTATCTTGTTTTTTTCATGAATGCTCTAGTATTTACTAGATAGGGTAGGCTG